CTGTTGTGAGTTTTTGATACCTGAGACAATTCTTTCTTTTTATAAGTAAAGCAAAACATCAGATAAGCAGTAAAACATACTGCTTGTTCTTTAATTTTGAGTTCTGTGGTTTTTGTTTATAGCACACTGATCACAGTTGAGACTGACCTCCATTTCCAGAGAGAAGTCCCCATAATGCTCTGATATTCTTGGGATTTTTTGAAAATTTTACTTTCTTAGGAATGGATCTTAATGTTTCAGGTAATAGTTATCCTTAAGCAAATTCATTTAAACTTTTATTGCTTCAGGGAACAGCCAAGTTGACTCACAATTTATTTTCCAATGCACAGCATGTAAGAGCACCTTTGATCTTCCAGAGAGTTTTGTTAGCATTGTTTACACAATGCTAATTACACACTAGAATGTGTAATTAAATAGAAAAAAATATGTACAGAATAATGAAAAAAAATTGAAATTATTTATTTTTTGTTCATAATGCCTGTTATTTATATTGCACAGAAGCAGAATTATTTGTTTAAATTGTTCCTGAAGCTATCTGTAAAAATATCTTTTACTATATTTATAGGCAGAAATTAGAAAAAAGTTAGAAATGAGTAAACTAAGAAGTTTAATTAATGAAATTACTTAATTTAGAGTTTAGAATTAAGAAATTAGTAAACTAAGAAGTTGCAGTTTAATTCAAATCTGTGAAAATTTACAAAGGCTATATTGACTGCCATTTTTCCTAGCATGTTTGTATAAATTGTTCAGACACAAAGGCTTGCTTTGTATTAGCCAGCTAAGCATTTAGAAAGAGATTATTGCTCATTGAATAGTGCAATGCTAAGGAAAAGAAGAATCAAAAATATTTATTTGAAACCATTCTATATCTGACCATTGGAAAAGAGACAAGTATCAAGAAATCATTGTCTCTTGAACTAACTTAATTCTGGTTTGTGGTCTTCCAATATGAATTGCAGTCCAATTTTAATTTTAAAAACTATTTTTAAAGCCATTCTGTGTCTACTATAATTTTAAAATCTACCTGTACTGCAAGGTGTCTGTTTGTCACACATCTCCCTTGCCTACTCATAGACAGATAAGCACAATACCAGATTTTTAGCCCTGTTTATATGCTTTGAGCTGAAATTGCCAAGTTTCCTAAAGTGCCTCAAAGTACACTTTTGCTTAGGAGGCATTTTAAGTGTTAAACATTATCATTCTGTCTGAAAAGTGAAGTATTTTTTAAAACTTTCAGTTTTCTCTATTTCATTGGGGTTTTTTTTTGTTTTGGTTTGGTTTGGTTTTTTACTATGATATGTTATGGTCTAATTCACATCTCAGTTTTTTGTCTGCTCTGTTGCAGGCTTGTAAATAACATTCCACCCAGATATATTTCAAGTCCATAACTTGCATTTCATGTGAATTTCAAGTGTTTTATTTGGGAAATGCTTGTACCTCAAGCTCAGGCATTCATCAGGTGGTTCACATCCTTCTACTTCAGAATTTTTGCTTCAGACTTTTAGTCCAGTTTATGTACCTAAATATTCTTCAAGGCATGCAAGATAAGATTAACTTAATCTAACTTCCTATATTTAAAGTGTAAGGTAATCATCCAGATTCTTTGTATTTAGAGATACATATCTGTGAATGAGGATTTCTTTGTATCCTAAGATCTTTACTGATTTCTAGAAAATATATTAGCAAATACTTTAGAGTTGAATCTCTTAAATGGCCACAGTGAAATGATTTTACTTCTGCACTCAGAATAGATATTGGCTAAGGGGCCGTATTGGTGAAATAATTCATCAAAATCATTCTCATTTTCAGTTTCAAGTGCTGTTCTTAATAAAACCGAACCTGTTTCAAACAGCCAAAACCTTTTCTAAATCTCTGAGCAGTGTGAATACTATTGTTCAGATATGTTTGAAGATTTAGATCAAATCACAGTAAACACAAAGAACCAAAATTTAAAAAGAATGCCAGCAGCTTTGCATTGTGCATTTGGCTTGTCTGCATAGAAGTATATAGAATTTCCCTTAACTAGGTGTTGACAGTAAAAATGAGATGACAAAGATCATTAGGTTTTTCTAATAAATGAGTAATATTTTTCTCTACAGACTCTCTGCTGTAGTTAGTTGAGATATAGAATCTCCTGTTTATATTTGTAAAATTTTCTCTGTTCTGTTCCTGAGAAATGCATGTGAGAAAAAGAAGTGTAATGAACCCTGGGCTGATAAATGTTCTTAGAGATAAGCAAAGCCTGCAAACTGGAGCCAGCATGAGCAGCAAGCATTTCAGCTGAAGCCCTTTTTTCCTTTATACACATGAACACAAGTGCATGAACACAAGTGCATGAACACAGACACACAGAGTCAGCTGCACTAAATGCATTTAATCAACCTTTAGAAAACATCAAAACTCACTCACTTCTGCAATTCTCTTTTAATAATTTTACTACAACAGTGTAGCAGTGAATGTTACTCCAAAGATACTGGATTTGTCTTTTTGGACCTAGTGAACTTTTGCAAAAGCTTCAGCATCACAGAGCAGTGCATTATTTAGTGACCTTCTGACTGTTAAGACCTTCTTGTGATCACTGGAATTGATTTAGTTCTGTTAGTATGTGTGTGGTTCAACACTCTGGCCTCTTCAGGCACTACCCAAAGAATACTAAGCAGCTTCAGAGAGTACGATACGGTGTGAATATCTTTTAAGAGACTATTTATGCTTGGAAATTTTAAACCAAATCACTAATATTGGAGTTATTTCCTTTTCAAAGTATAATTTGAAATAAAAAATGGAATCTCAAACTCTGCAACAGTTTCTAGTCTACTGTTTTGTTTTGTTCCAACAATTTTTGGATTTATTTCTGTAAAATTTGACTGATGTCTTCCAAAAGTATATTAGGCAATCTGTCTGTCATGCTGTCTCCTCTCATCTCTTGATAAATATAAATGTTTGTGTGAAAACATTCCTTACTTAATTAGAAGGGAACATAGTTGTTCTTCTTTGTTTGCAAAAGGTTTATTTCAATTAAGAAATTAAAATTCTTTCCTGTTGTTCCAAAGGTAAATTTAAACTCCTTTGCTTCTTTAGCTTATTTTAAAAGGCAGTCATGAATAAAAAGTGAATTCTCAGTATTAATTTTATTGGGTTTATATTTCTTCCCATTAGATATATCAGGACTACAGTTAAAATTTGTTTGGTTTGAAATTTTCTATTTAATTATGCAAAAAACTGTTGTTTCTGTACTGATCATAAACTAAAGTTGGCATTTTTAATAGATTTACCATGTAGTTAAAAGTAAAATGGTATTACAAGAACAGCAGCACTTGGTAACAGGATCTTGGGTTTTTTTGCCAACTGTGACTTCTCCCTGCCCCGATACTTTCTGACATTTTTAATTTGGAAGGGAATATCCTTGTAAGAGTGGAGGGTTGTCCTATCTTTGAAACAGTAGAGTGAGACTAGCAAAGCTACCAATCATCTTCAGTTTTTATTGAGTAATAAATAATGTCTAAACTAGGAAATAGGAAATTTTCTGTAGCAAATAAGGGGCAGAGGATTTCAAGAGACATAGTTTTCTTGCACCTTAGAATTTAGGACACACTGGTTTGCTTTGCAGCCCTAACATTCTTTTCTATGACCTTAAAAATGTATGCAAAGTTTGCTACACTGTCATTCTTGTTTCCTCCTGTTCTGACCATCTTTAAATGGTTTAGTCAGAAATCAGTGATCATGTTATTTTTCTCCACAGTGTTTTTTCCCACAATGAGACCTCAGGTTCTCTTATAGTCAGTTGTCCACAAAAGCACAACGCTGAGATTTCTGGGGTTGGGTAGGTAGCAGTGGCTGTTGTATTTTTCAGAGTTAAATAATTTAAAAACAGATTGAGTGAGGGGGAGATGGGGGTGGAAGAAAAAAAAAGAAAAAGGGTTCTTGGTTTCCATCAGACATAAGCTTGATGTTTTCATGTAAGTGAATGCATCAATCTCTGGTGTAAGCATTATTTTATTTACATAAGTGAAAAACTTAAAATGTTTGAGGTAATCCTGCATCTCATGATGTTGGCCAACGTGGCATTGTGCTAACACAGTGGTCTGGAACAACACAACCGGCTTCCTCCCAGCACATTGAACCATTAAATGCATCTATATAAGTCAGTTTGCTACAGTTAGTTGCTTTTCTGCTTGGTGGATGAATTCTCTGGTTGTGCTAGATTAGAAGCCACAAGCTCTAGCATCCATTCCTGACAAACTGGGTCAGGGATATGCAGGCCCTGTGGGTACAGGCCACATGCAAACCAAATACAGTACCTGTTTCCTGAGAGTCATGGATATGAAACTGGGGAGCACCTCTGCCCTGTAGCAGGAACTGAGTTCCTTCAGAGAAAATATCTGTAGTTCTGCATTTAAAAAAAACTTTATGTGGTAGCGTGCTATTCCCCAAAGTGAATTCTGATTGTGTAAAACATGTCTAGAAGTGTGTGTGTATGTGTTCCCATTTGGTTAACAAATGCTTACAGACAATAAAGACACAAAACTCAGGACTGTATTTGAATCACAAATTCAATTTTGAATCACAAAAGTGTGCTTAACTTGGTACCCAAATCAATCAAACCAAATACTTAAGATCATAATGTATATGATGTATTTATATATTTCCCTATATCTTTCTGTTTGTATACAGACAAAATTAATGTATTATATCTGCGTAGACACATATTTCCCTACTATCCTATGTCAGTTTTATAAAATCAGTTAGTGGAAGTTGTGTTCAGCTTGTATGTAATATCAGGTTGCCCAGCATATTATTTATTCAGATTGTTCTACTGGTCTTGCCTACTCTTTTCCATTGTTGCTTGGCTTGATGCTCCACTATTCTACATTCTAAGCCAGAAGTGCTTACACCGAATTTATTATAGATCAACAGAAATGCTGATTTCATTGTAAGTAATGTGCTTTCCATGACTGATTGTTCTTTGGTTTAAAGTAGTTGTTATTTGTCATACTTGACAGGTACACCTACTGCGAAATGCTGGCGATGAAGTTACCATCACAGTTCAATACCTCAGGGAAGCTCCATCATTTTTAAAGCTCCCATTAGGTAAGAGGAAATTAGTGAATGGGAGTAATTTGTTTTCCTCTTTGCAGTATTCTTGTAATAAGCTGACAGTGACAGAAATAGAAATTCAATCCTTGAGTGCTTCGCAGGAAGAAATAGAAAATTGTCTGTCTACTTTACTGTTCAACATATAAGAATCAAATGCATACTGCCTTGCTTCTTATGTATAATTTATTCAAAATAAAACTGAAAAAAATCATTATGATGCAGTACAGTCATGGGTGATAGCTGAAAGTTTTTCAATAGAAGCTTTGCCTGAATACAATAAATAGTGTTTGCAAACATTTGAATCATACATTTACACTGAAAGTTACTTTGAGGACACTTACCAAAAAAATGGATAACATTAATTATGTATATTTCATAAATTACTTTACTATTTTGATTGGTTTTGTCAGCAGAATTATGTTGAGACAGCTGAGTAGTTTAACAGTAGCAATACTAAAAAGTGCATGAACAATATAGATCATGGAAGTTTGGGGCTCTTTTGATTATCAGATAAAATATTCAAATTGCACAGTTGTGATCAGTGTTGCAAGTAGAAAAGTGTTAATAATAAATCACTTTATTTGATCAAATTAATAATTTTGCACCAGTTTATTTTAGCAGATTATTTTCTCTCCAAAATAAGCAAAAAGTTTTGAAATGTGTCTTGTTCTTTGGATTGATTTAGATTTTATTTCTTTAAAGTGCATTCAGCTATATACTTGTGGTTTCCTATTTTCAGCAGACTCATAGATGTCATAGTTTAGACCTTGCCATTAGAAGAATGTCAGTCACTTAATCTAGATTTTTATATCTGTCAAAAGCCAACTTGACAGGCCTCTACTAAGATGAACTATACATTTCATGCTAGAACCTTTCTTTCAGTGCTTACTGCTTATCATTTTCATTTGATAATATATGGTCAGTTTTTCTTATAATGAGTCTTCATGTGTCTTCCTACTTTTCCTACTAGATCATCAGACAACTCTAAAATTATGTTGACTGCTCCTTGGATAACTATGTCCAAGCTTAAACATGAATTTGGCAAATTAGCAGCATCTTACCAGAAGTGTCTGTGTCGTTGGGCATATTTATTTGTGACTATGACAGTGCTACTAGAACTTGTATCTCATCTTGTAGACTGATATCACATACTTGAACTGTATTGCCTGTCATTGGTTAACCTTAGCTAAGAGCCAAACTCTCATTCAGACACTCTCTCTCTCCCTGTTCTCAAACAGAATGTGGTGTACAAATAGAACAAAAAAAAAAGTAGCTATTAATTACCATCATGGCCAAAGCAGAGGCAATGTGGGAAAACTTAGACAAATGTATTGTCTATTAAAATAGATTCAGGCAATGAGAAACAAAGACAAATAAATTGTCCACCACTTTCTTCACTGACCTTGAGGTTCATTTGATTTTTGTGTCACTCTTTTCCCTACTATTGTCTCCACCTTTCTGCATTTTACCCTCTGTTAAATAGTTCCCCAGAGGTGCTGCCAGCTCAGCTCCAGGGCCCAGTGGTAATGTGGGATCTGGCTGGACCCGTCTGTGTCTGGCACAGGGCAGCCCCAACCATTCCCCACTTCTGGAAACATCCCAGCCCATCAACTCTTGCCACTAAGACCTTGTACACACTACACAAGCTGGCTGCCACCTTCACGTAGGTCCAGCAATGTTGGTGCCCTCTTTGTGCATCATGGGGAGATTGGCTTTCTCACCAGGAGATGCTGCAGCGTCTTTGTCTGGGAGCCTGAGATCATGGCACTGCTTCCATAAAGTGCCAATTCTGGAAATAGAAAGCAGCTCAATAGAAGCACACTCAAAAAAAAAAGAACTTGCTAGGTATGATGAGACATGTAAGGAACTTAGGAAATGACCCTTCTCCTGAACTGAACCTGGACCTCCACAAGAGCTTGCATGCACCTCTCTAGAATGTTTGGTGTAGCCATTCAGTAGAGGCTGAAACCAAGGTTTGTGAGTCAAGTGATCTTTGGTAAATGATTTGCTATAAATATTCATTCTTGTAATGAGAAAAGAAGCAAATAAGGTGGATAAAAGTATGGAAAATAGTTATGACTTAATGCAATATATAAACTGGAGTTACAGAGAATAGCACCCCATTTCAAGAAGAGTTTTTCACAAGTCCATGCACAAAAGGGAATTCCAGTCATGAAGCATTATGACACATTTAGAAAGCTAAGTAGCAATTGCATTATGCAATAAAGAAATTCCCAAATCACACTGCAGGCAGGATTTAAGTGTGTGCATGCATATTCTGAAGTATTTTGGCTACTCCAGCCATCCCAGAAGGCTCAGGCACTTGTTCCAGCATTCAGTCAGACCAGCTGCTGTGCTGGCAGTTTTAGTGCTGTGCTGTGTTCACTGTAACTGCAATCATACTGTCTCTTCCCATCAACCATATCATCACCATGAGCACATCACCAGGAGTAGCATCTGCCTCCCCTGCTCCCTTCTTATACATCTCCCTTCCCTGCACCATCCCATGTCATGGCAGAATGTCATAACATGGAAATATCTACCTACAGTTCTCACAGCATTTTTTTATCTATTCGACTCCTTTGTTATTGCCAACAAAAAAACCCCAGAATTTGAAATGGGTTTATTTGTAGATACTGATTAAGTATCACTTAAGGATGGGACAAGGACTGCTTGTTTTGCATATCTCACTCTCAGTGAAAAAAGGCTTAATCCTGAAGACAGTTAAGCACACAAAAAGACCCCATGAGCACAGCCCCTCTCAGATGACATCTAGAAACCTTTTTTATTTCTAGACATTAAATTTAGTGTATGGATATTTAATTGTCTGACTTTCTGAAATGCAAGTAGTATTTCTGTCTTGGTTGGGGGAATTATATTAAAAATTCTTCCTGTGTTTTACAGCTGGAATAGATGTTGTCTGATATATACATATATTTTTAACATCAGCAGGTATTTTTTTTTTAACTGATTTCCAGGTTCCCCTGGACCATCAAGTGATCACAGCAGTGGAACTTCATCACCTCTCTTTGACAGTGGCTTACATTTAAATGGAAACTCAACTAACACGGTATGCAAATGAATAATAAAAGCATGGTGGATGTGAACTTTATAAGTTCTTTTCTCATTTTGAGCTTCAAAATGCTACAGTAAGACTAACTTAGCTTTGTTCTTTTTGTTGTTTGCTTTGATTGATTTTTAAGTGCTTATACTGTACAATTCTGTACTTACAAAGTCCACAACACACAGCCATGAACTGCTAGGTTTTTACTCTGGGACAGCTGAGACATTTGGTAGAGTGAACACAGTAAGATGTAATCATTATTTAGACATGAATTCATGTGAGCTTTTGTCATACTTTGTTGCATTATACTGCAACAAAAATTATTAAATTATATATATATAATTTAATCCAGCTGGAGATGCTGAAATGCAGGTGAAATTAAGAAAATAATGTAAAGTTGAATTCTTGAAGAAAACTTTTTTAATAGAAAAGATAGGGAGAGAAAGAGAAAGAAATAAAAGAGGAAAAAAATGTATCTTTCTTTTACCCAGAGGATATTCAGTTCTTCTTTCTGCAGTGAACAACTGTGATTAAATTAATTGCAGCACTGTGGGGAAAGAAAAGAAAAAACTTTTTCTCCAGGAAAAGTGGTAGTCACCAAAGAACATAGGGTGTCTTAGCAAGCAAGAGTGCTGTCCTTTCAGTAATGAAGATTGAAGATGTAAATACTAGCTGTACAAGGACATGGACCTTCATGCTCAAAGCCTGTTTGACACCTAACAAATCTCAGCTCTAGTCTTTCAGTTGGATATTAAATTATAGAGAAAGAAGACACACTGAACGGACAGAAGCTTCTCTTCTGTTTTCCCTTTTTTTCTCAGACAGTAATAAAATTATCTGCTGCTTACTGTACTTCTCTCAAGCTTTGCACTTCTTCAACCACTGTCTCTCAATATTACTCCTTAAAGCTTGTTTTCATCTGCTAAAAATACATATATTCATGTATGATAGTATAAAGGCATAATGTACAATAAATAAATAAATAGAAATATGCTTTTCTGTGCTGATACCTGTACCACAGTGTTTGGTGAACAAAATGGTCATAGATACAAAAGGTTTCATGTTTATTTTTTTGCAGTTATCCAGATGACTGTTAATTTGGACAACTTTGGATAACAGTACTGCCTTGTACTGTTGTCTTACTAAAGAATCCAAACCACAGGATCCAGCATTCTGCTCTGCCTGTCCACCAGGTTCTCTGCAGGCAAAGAAAGTCCTTTCTGCAAAGAGCTTACATGATAAGAAAAGGGCTATGGTAGTGATTGCATTATCACATTTTAGTAAATTAGTGCCTACTAAATGCTAGGATGAGTGTGTTGTGATCATTTTTAACAATCATTATGACTGCTTTGGGAACTGCACACTTGTAACTTCTCATATTATAAAAATATAAATAAGTGGCTGGAGTTTTGTAGACTTGTAACAGAGTAATTTAGAGTTAGCACACAAGATAGCACAGAAAAGACTGGGTATAGGCTTGAAATATAAGCAGAAAAACAAAAATTAAAAAAGGTGTAATAGTAAGGTACTGGCTTGATTTTATACAGCACTTAATTTTTCTGAAGCCTGACACAAACTCATGTGAAGAGCTATGTATAAAATAGACACTATGGCCTAGAAGTGGAATAAACAGGACAGTCTACATCATGGATTGTAAAAGTCATGATCTCCCTTCACAGAAAACAAAATGGAAAATTGCTAGAATCTTATTGTAAAACTCAAAAGCAAGGCCCTATATATTTTGAGCAGGAATGACTGGATTTTGAGATGATGCATTGTATGGTTAAACTTTTCTCAAGCTGTGAGTGTAACTGAGCTATGATCATATCTTGAAAAGTGGTTATGAATGTGTTTCAACTACCATTTAGTGAACACTTATATTTTATTCAATTAAATATTTTCAAATTTATGGCAAAGTAAAAGCAGAACTGACATTTCCTGTAATGCTATTGCCTGATAAGACTAATGATATATAAATCCTGTTTTTACATCACCCTGGTAGGGGAGATCTGACTCACTTTGAACACTGCATCTTGCAAGTTTGCGTTGCAGTTTTATCTACCTTCCTAACCACACTCAGATCTATGCCATAATAGACAATGCACCTATATTTATAGGTGGAAGTTCTACTCCAAAAAGCACACCATGTAAAGGAAAGGACAGGAGTGAGAGCCAAAGAATTACTGTGGCTCCAAGTTTACCAAGCTGTCATTTTTGATGGCTTGTAGCATAGGGGCGGTAGTTTAGCCATCTTAGCAGCAAGCTCTTTCTGCCTAATAGGATTGTACCATTTTCAGTTCTGGTGCTGTCCTGCCTCTGTTGGACCTGTCTCTGTCACCTCTGCTGTGAAGCATCTGCTGTGTGTGATGTGATACCATCTTCAGGATTTATATACATCTTTCGTAATATCAGGGCAGTTTGCAGTACAGCACTTTAACGGGGTTCTCTGAAACCCAGAGAAATGAGCCGAAGTTCTCTCTTCACACCTGATTATTTTATCTTGGTCACTACTGTGACAAATGCTACAGCGATTGACAGTGGCAGTCACATTCATCTGTACCTTATAAGTAGTTTATTGAACACAATGTAATCTTCCATAAGGGAACATAAAACATACAAAGGAGGTGGTTTCAAGGCTAGTGAGTACAGGTTGTTTTCCTGGAGAGTTCTAACTCTAAAACAATGAAGAAAGTGCTTTAGAGATCTCCTACCAGATGTCCAAATATCCTAGACATCCAGGCTACTTTCTGGAGAAATAAGTGGTGGAGAAAAATATTGTAAATAAAACAATTACTGTTTAAGACACCATGGGATAATTTGACAGTTACAATGCAAAGGCAGAATATACTATGTTTTCATTTGTTTGAGAATCCACCTTCCTTGAATTGTCTAACAATGATGTTCTAATAAGTGAAGTGAGACCAGAATAAATTGTTGTTTTCTGTTTGTTTGTGTAATTTGAGAACTCTAATTTTGATAGTGTATGTTAAGGTTAGTTGGTTAGATTAAGCTAAACAGGCACTTATATTTTTCTAAATTGCTTTAAAATATATTTCTTTGATGCCTTTGTTTTATCTGCTGAGTTAAATAGTTTTGCTTTAGAAAAGACATTGCCTACTTCATCATCAAGTTTTTAAAAATGAAAAAAATACAAATGCTCAGCTCTTGATGGGACCAGTAGAATGCTACATCTTTAATGTCTATGGTAGTCCTAGTTCCAGAGTGAGAAAATGATACAACTGAAAATGATACAACTCAATCCCAAGCATTAAAGGGTAAAAAGGGAAGAGGATTCAAGAGAGGGCGGTGGACACCCTTGGGGAATGTCTGACCAGAACACTGAGTTGAGATTGAATGGATGTCCTATGTAGGAAAGCTTCAATACTCTTGCTTTTTTGAATATTCCTGTAGTGTCTTCCATTTTGATATAAACACACCATTCTTAAAGATAATTTAATCATCCTGTAGCTTGCTTTAAGAAGAGAAACTTCAGAATTTCAGTTCAATATCCTTTCTTTTGGAATGATTTCACGTGTTCATGGTTTCAGTTGCCTCTGCCAATTCTCAATCTGAAAATCCATTATTTTCTCATGTAGTATGAAAGCAAGGTAACTTTGGACTGACTTCCAGTTCACAGTGTATCATTTGGCAATGTATATTCATAAAATTATTAATGTAATAAATACAAAAATATCTCACATAGAGGCACGCAATGATTACTCTCATTAATTGTCACTGTGTCTTCCATTTTTTGCTGAAGAGAAAGATAAAACAGATTAAACACAGCCAGCTGCACTTCAGCAGTTTGCACTTCTGCTGTGCTGAAGACCTTTATGAAATGAGATGAAGACACTGCAAATAAGTTTTCCTCAATTAATAAAATACAAAATTATAATAATGACTCAGTGAATGATAACCCAGATTTTCTGTTTCTGATTAGACCTCTCGGAAATCATGGCAATGGAAGCTAGAAGAAAACGTTTAAATGACACTTTCCTACTTTACTACAACAGAGTTATAAGGAATATCTTTTGGATTGAAATATTTGTTTAGATTTAGCTGTACAGAAGTGCTGTTTTTCTAATTGTGATTAGAGTTGATTGGGACTTTCACTTTGACATTAATGAAGTGAATAAAAAGTATCTTTAAAAGTCTCATCCTTTCCTTTCATTAATGTCCACAGCCACTGCTAATCCTTTCAGCAGAGTTATTTCTTCTAGTATTTCATTAATCAAATTAACATTTGATTGATCAGCTTGATCATTTCTTCTGCACAGAAATTCCCCAATTTGTTAGGTATCTGGTTTTAGTTCTAAATTATATATATTTTCCCCATACACAGCCCTTGCATGTGAATACATTGTTTTTTACAGTTCTTACGAATTTTCTCATTTCAAGTTTTCAGCAGCAGCAGCAAAAAAGAAAATGTTTCTAAATTTGATGTTAGCATAGGTGAACCTTAGCAGTCCAGGTACACGTCTATGTGGTTTATAGAGAAAACTGAGAGTAAAATTGAGGTTACAAGTTCTCCCTCTAAGCTACATCCAGTGTCTTTCCACAAGTTCCAGCAACAAATTGACACTGATCTCAGAGAGAGAAGCAAGAGTCAAGGCTCAGATTTTTCCTGAGGGGTGTGCAGACTGTGTGAAATTCAAAGTTTCCCAAACCTTGAGCTAATTTTTCTAAGCAAGGACAGCATGCCCCATTTGGGGATATAAAAGGCTGCCAAAAGCTGTTTCTAACAGCTGAAGTTTGGTACACTTGCATTTATAGTGTAAAATTATAATGATCTCAACATTGTATCTTTTATTTTTCTTATATACATTTAATGTTAGGTTTTGATTTTTGACTGCTATTGTAGTTTTTGAGCAGTCATAATTAGTTTCTACTTTTTGTGCTGAGATTTGATATAAACTAGTCTGGTCCCTGTCCCCCACCCCCAAAGGAAGAATTTATCTGGAAAGGCGTTCCAGGCAAGGTTGTTGAGGTTACTCAGAAACCAATTA